GACTCATGTTCATCTTGGAGTCAATAATGACTCCCTTTTCCACCTCCGTGCTGACAAAAGGGTAGTTCCCCAGCCTGTATGTATGGTGCCTATTGTTCCTCCCCAGGTGCATCACCTTACACTTGTCTGTGTTAAACCCCATCCTATTCTCCTCCGCCCATCCTTGTAACCTATCTAGGTCCGACTGTAGCCTGTTGCTCCTCTCTATTGGTGGAGTTGTTCTGAGAAACAGGAGAAGGAAGGGGTATGGGAGGCCAGACAGAGTCTTAACTGCCACAGCATGGGCTTGTGCAGGGGCTGCAAGCTCACAGTGGGGACCTGGGGTTGAGTTGCCTTCATCAGCCTCACTCACCCTTTCCTCTCATGGGTGCTGACAAATTGTGGCTGTAAAAATCTTAGGTTAGACACAGTGATGGACCATGGGTCTCTGGTGCCCAGGGACCAATGTTTGCATTTGCACCCCCTGCTCTTTCTCATAGCAGTACTTAGTCACGTCATGTGGTAAGAATTCTGAAGGGCCTGGCTGGCACCTGGGGGCCATGGGCCCCTCCTGGCCCCCCCCGCTGGTTGGTCTGCCACTGGTTAGATGTGGCTGGGAAAGAGGCAAAGTGCTGCCTCGTACCAGGGGATGGAGTGGGAGGAGCCAGACCAGAGGGGAATCCAGTCTCTGATCCCTCTGCCTGGCCCCTGAAGTCACTCTAGTCTCTTCCACCTCCCTGGCTTCCATTCCAGTACTCTTCCAGTCAACACCTGGGTCTTGTGCCTGGTTACACACCTAGAATCAGGGAAAATTGTTCCCTGTGCCCGTTTTCAAGAGGGGAAATGGGAAGGGCTTCAGTAGAGGGGTTCCTGGTAAACCGGGAAGGGCTACAGTTCCTACTGCAGCTGCATCCTGGTCTGGAAACAAAGATATGCCAGACAGTTCCACCTGGCTGTGGCAGTGATGGATCTGTAGGCCCCAGTTGAGAACCACTGATCTAGCTTAACCTTTCATTTTTTGTCTACATAAGTGAATCTTGCATTCCATAATATAATAAAATACCATTTCTCAGTTGGGACAGAATTTTCTTTCATATATCTTGGAGTATTAAATGTGCAAACCATAAGATTTGATATGCTCTACTGTCAACGAATAAACAAGCTAGAACTGTGGCTATCTTTCAGATGAGTCATGGGGAAAATTGTCGTATTGTCAATTTGCATCCTTCTCTACAGAATAACAAGAATTTTACTATACTCAGACATGTAACTGTTTTAACGCAATACATGCTTCATCAAACGTCTGGTATACCTGGTAGTCTTGCACTTGTGTGAGCTTTCTCCAAAATGTTGGTGAATTCATTATAGGTTAGAAGTTGCATCTGTAGTAAATATTGTAGTCTTGCAAAATTCTCAGCAAAATTCTTGACTTAGTTGTAGAAGTATCCCCTCCCATAAGTAAAGGTTGCCTCCCTATACAGCTTCATTCCAGAATATCCTTCTGTCCTTTAATGCTGGGGACGTGAGTGGCACCAATTTTTAGACTGCATGTGTTTTATG